AACCAGGCATTGTGTCCTTGATCTGTTCTGACGACTGCCTCCTAGTCCAAGTATACGTTTTGCATTAGCACAATCAAGTGTTCTGGGATTCCCATTCTTTTCAAGAGTTAGCCACAGTTTGTTATGATCCACACAGTCAAATGCCTTTGCATAGTCAATGAAACACAGATAGAAATTCCTCTGGAACTCTCTGCTTTCACTCAAGATCCAAAAAAGTATTGTTGTTGTTGTTAAGTGCTGTCAAGTCATAGATGACTCATAGGACCCTATGAATGAAAGACTTGAACATTTGTATAACTTTCATTATTTCTCCACGTGCCACTCCTGCTTCCAAGCTTGTTTAATTGGGAAGCTCCACCAAACACTGCCCACCATGGGTAACCATTACCACATTTGACACATCACTGCCACGGTGTTTAGCATCACAGCCACCACAAGTTACCTCTGTACAGCAAGTGGACAGAATAGTGCTAAACTACTTAGAAGAATGTTTGACAAAAAAATATTTAAACCACTGGCCTGGGGACCACAGAGTAAAACTCGATGAGCTCCACCATTCCACATTCCTCCATAATCAAGCCTTCCCATTGGCTCTCACCACCCAAAAGTACCAGTCTGCGAGCATTCTGATGCTTCCTCAATTTCCAACCAAATTTAAAAACCAAGGCATGGTTTAAACTCCATGAGCTCGGCCATTCCACATTCTTCCTAATCAAACATTCCTTTTGGCTTTCACCACCCAAAAGCGCCCATCTGGGAGTGTTCTGATGCTTCCTCGATTTCTATTAGTATTTTAAATTATTAACATGATGCTAACACAGAAGCACAAATATTTTATAAATATTAATTGGAAAAGATTCCTAATAATATCAATTCTTTTCACTTTCCTCTATTCCCATTCTAATGCATAACTCAGTGTGCTTGCAATTAAAAATAAAATGTAGATGCAAATTATGTCCAATTTTTACTTTGGATTTCTGGACATAATTGTTGCATATTAGATGACTGAATTGATACATTAGATTGTTTCAATATCCTTCATTAACTCAACTCATCTCATTACCATCGATTTGGAACTGCGCTGGAGCTGATGCTCCATTGGGTTTTTGGGAGGCTGTAAATCGCAGAGGAGGAAATGACCCATCTTTCTCCTACATAATTGCTGGTGGAGTTGAACCAACAGAGAGATGCCACCTTTGAGTTATCAACTCAACTTCCTGTGGACTTGACCACCACAGCTCCATATCTTCTCATTAGACATTGCCATTGTTTCTTTTAAGACATTTTAATACCTAAATACCACTTTATAGTCTATTTCACTCTTTTAATTTTTTTTTAAGACAAAGTACCAACAATGAGATTGCGGGGTTAAAAAGAATGAGCATTTGCTTGTTGTTTGTTATCAGTTGCCAAATTGTCCTAATAGATACCATTCCCGGCAACACTCCATGAATGTCGTTGTTTTGTCACACGATTTTCTTTCTTACGTAGAGATTAATGTGTAAAAAAAAAAAATTAAATAACGAAAATCACCTCATAAAAAGATTTTATCCTTTCTCTCATTTGGATTGTCTGTTCCTATTTTTCTGTAAATCCTGGTGATAAATTGGGTTACATGCTGAACCGTGATAATCAGAAGGTCAACATTTCACACCCACCAGCCACTCCTTGAGAAAAAGATGTAGCTGTTTGCTTGCATAAAGAGGTACATACCCAGAAGCCCAGTGAAGGGTTGTCATGAGGAAGAATTGACTTCATGGTTGTTGGTTTGGGGGTTATTCTGTGTCCACAGCACTGGTGATGCAGTGGTTATGAGCTTGGCTGCTAACCCGATAATTTGCAATAGGAACCTAACATCCACTCAATGGGAAAGAGACAAGACTGTCTTCTTTAACATTTACAGCCTTGGAAACTACATGAGGCTGTTCTTTTCTGCTTTGTGGGTTCATTATGAGTCAGATAGACAATAGACATTCTTCTGTTTATCTTTGGCTTAATCTGTCATGCTGAATTTGTGTAACTGTTTTCACGTTATAATCATAGGTGATTTTTAAAAGGAAATGCAATGCTTAGGGATAATACTATTTTCTTTGGACCATCCTTATTTGCCTCCAAGGTGACCTCAGAGGTTAGTTTAGCTCAAGATTTGAAGAATATCTGAAGATAGTAGTGTCTTCAGTCTAGTAGAGCTGGTTTCTTTTCTTTAAAAAAAAATAATGGAGATTCTGTCCCACATTTTTTTCCCATTCTAGAATAATGGTTTCCCATGGTGGAGGGTGTTTGGTGGAGCTCCCAGACAGGTTTGGAAGCAGGAGCAGCATCAACTTCCTAAACAACATGCCTCTGGAAACTCTATGAACTTAGAGAAACAACGATAGTTCTAGAACAGGGTTTAAGTCTTTTGTTCATAGGGTCTCTTTGAGTCATGCTTGATTTGATAGCCTTCAACAACAATCATAATGCTAGGCAGCTCTGGTGGCCTAGTGGCAAGAAACTGCATTGCAATCTTGAAGGCACTTGGTTCGAGATCACCAGCCACTCTGTAGGGAAAGGATGGGCAATCCCCTCCCAGGTGATTAACTGCCTCTGAAAGCTCACCAGAGGGTCAGCTCTGGGCTGGTTCTGACTTGATAGTACACAATAACAATAATCATAATGCTAGAAGGATACTCTGTTCATTTCCATAAGTGTTTAATAAAAATTTTGGATTACTATATGTCTTGGGCTGGGTTCTTTAAATGAGAAAAAAAGTGTTTTTATATACGTGTTTATACACATGTTATACATTAATAGAGTTGAACTTCCAGCCCAAGGACATGTGGTTCAGAGGCACCAGTGGCTCCATGGGAGAAAGATGGACAGTCTCCTCCTGTGTGATCTGTGGCCTCTGAAAACCCTCTGAAGGGTCAGCAGTGACTCAGTTCTAACTGGAAAGTACACAACAATGATATACATATGTATGTGTATACATGTATATGTAAACACATAGTGTATGTATGTACAGACAGGTATATATTCTTAAATATCTATATATGTTGTTATGGAGCCCTGGTGGCCTAGTGGTAAGAAGCAATTCCAAAGGCATGCAGTTCTAGACCACCAATTCCTCCCTGGGAGAAGGCTAGACAGTCTCCTTCTATGTGATTTACTGACCCTGAAAGCTCATTGAAGGGTCAGCTATGGATTGGTTCCAATTGGACAGCACACAACAACATGTTGTATATGTGTGTATAATTATATATACACATGTACACACAGAGGCACCCAAACACTATATATACACACACACATATACTGCATTATACACACAGATGCACACTATATATATACACACACAAACACTATATATTTATATACACACCATTATATACATTATATACCTAAATATTCTACATATAAGCATGCAAAATAAATAGATAGATAGATAGATAGATAGATAGATAGATAGATAGATAGATAAAGTTGTTGTGTGTTTGCTCTGGTAGCTTAATACCTTACATGTTGTCTTCTGAAGAGGTCTATAGTTCTAATCCACCAGCCCCTCCACAGGAGAAAGATGGAGCAAAGCTCTTCTTTAAAGATTTACAAACTTGGAAGCTCAAAGGAAGGTCACTATGAATCAGTACTGGTTTGATTATAGTGGATTTCTATTTAACGTGAGATTTATTTCAGAGACAGTTATGGATGTTGGCAAGTCCCAAATCTGTGTTACCAGACAAGACTGGAGGCTACTCTTAACTGATGTCATTGCAGGGGCTGGTGAACCCAAAATCAGTGCAGGCTGTTTGCTTGTGGGGCTATGGGAGTTGGCAAACCCCCAAATTATATGCATGTTAGGCACAGGCTACTGGCTCACATCCCCAGAACTAGAGTTGAAAAGATGAGAAATTGCACATAGGGTAAAAGAGAAAGAGGGAGCTTTATCAGAAGAACATACATGTAGAATGGGTGCAAATCATGTCCTATAGGAAGTACCCGTTACATCGGATTACAGAATGGAGGATCATTTCATAATACTGAGACTCCCGCCTGGTCAAATTGACACATAAAGTTAACCATCTCAATATACTTCCAACTTAACTCGCTGCCATGGAGACAGAACCAATTCATAGCTGACCCTGCAGTGGGTTTTCTGAAGCTGTAAATCGTACAGGAGAAGATGGCTCATCTTTCTCCCATGAAACCACTGGTGGGTTTAGAAAGCCAGAAAGGCCTTGTCTTTGGGTTAGCAGTGCAACTTTCTACAAAGTAGGCCACCTGAGAGTGATATACTTCTAAATAAGCTCATTGGTCTACTTCTTCCTTTGAAATAATGGTGTGCAAGTGATGAAATGGGTCGTTGGATAGTACTCAATTACCAAACATAAACACGAGATCATGGATGATTTGGTTTAACGTGATTCTTATATTTTAATTATTATTATAATTTTAATCATATGCTTGTAAAGTATTAGGAATAAACTGATTCACGCGGAGGGCGGGGAGGAATTGGTAGTAACTAGGATAGAAGCACAGTTCTTTTGTTCAGTGTTTTCTCTATGCAGATTTAGTTGAATGCCAGTAGATGGCACTAATTACATAAACAATTCAAGGAGTTAATGAAGAAAAAAGGAAAGCAAGATACTTTTAGGTGGTGGTCACATTTAGTATATTTTACATTCTGAGCAATTTTCTATTGATGCTTGTTTTTATGGTTTACTCTCTCTCATGATCAAAACAATCAAGCCCAGTTTATTTCTAAATTAATTTCTACTAAATTGGAAAAGATCTATTATTGGTTATTGTTTGAGATGCTGCACTGGAAAAGTTGTGTGATGAAAAGTGGGTTAGCTTATTCTGTCCTGATTGACTAAATCACATAGTTGGTTAAATCAATCAGGTAGACAAGTTCTGACCTGAATATTCAGAAGCTGTTTCTGAAGCATTTGAAGAAACTCCATCTGGAAATTCTGAGAAAAGCAAAACCCTGACATTTTTTTTTCTCTCATACACATCTACAGCAGCTGGCTAAAGACCTCCGCCAGTGGCAGATAAATGTCGATGTGGCAAATGACTTGGCACTGAAACTTCTCCGGGATTATTCTACAGATGATACCAGAAAAGTACACATGATCACAGAGAACATCAATGCCTCTTGGGGAAGCATTCATAAAAGGTATGACCAATATTATTTCTGAAACCCTTCTTGGCTATATTAATGGGGTCATGACAGTGAACGGACAATACAAATTTGTTTTCCTGATCCGGCTAAGCTTGGGTTTGGAAGGATTCAAGATGACAAATGCAAAGTAAACTCACAGGCTTGGCTCAGTTTCATTTTAAAGACAAGGAATCTAAAGTCTGATGAGATTAAAAGATTTGCCATAGTCACGAGCTAGTGATAAAAGTGAGAGGCTGGACAAAAACAAAAGACTGATTTGTGTCAGAAATGTTTTGAGGGCTGTAGCCAAAGAAATATCTTTCTATTCCATCATAGAATATACTCAGTCATGTTTAAGCCAACAAAGACAATGCATTGGGCTTCTCCACGGTGGAGTTATGCTGTACATGGGGCCATTATTGCATCTCCCTCCACAGATAAAATGGAAAAATCAATGTAGAATAACGTGACTATATATCCATGGTCTTAGAGACACCTACTTTATAACTCAAACTAGATCCTATCTCTTAAGCCCTTATGCTTTTCTTTCATTGGCGCATATCCCAATTACAATGAAAAGGATCCAGCCCCTTAGCAGTTAGGAGTTGTGCTGCCCCCTCAGAGGTATGCAGTTTGAATCCAAGGTGAAGATAGGCAGTTTCCTCCAGTGCAATTCACAGCCTCTGAAAACACACAGGCGAATGAACTATGAGTTGGTTCCAACTTGACAGCACGTAACAACAGTATCTGCTTAATTGTTTAGTGTTTGTCATCCGTATTATTGGCAGAAGCTGTCTGTTTTATTTGACACATCCCTAGACCCCAAACCAGCGCTTTGTATATTTGAGAAAAATGGTATATGTTGAGTGATGACTCAATTTGCATAACATAGAGTTACATGGTGCTTGCTGTATGTTTGTTTTGAGATGAATCAGAAAACAGTGTCTGTGCAATGAGGAAGATCATGGTGACAGGTAAGTAAACTCTGGAGGATAACATGAAATATTGAGTCAGGAAGTCATTTGTTATGTTGTACAGTGACCCTGTGAATAATAGAGCTGAACTCTGTCCTATCTTGTGCCATTCTCACAAGCTTTGACATGCAGTGATGGAGCCCATTGCTGCAGTAACTGTGTCACTTCATCAGTGTCTCTCAGTTCATCTGGTTGAGCGTCATCCTCTCTTTTGCTAACCCTTGACATTTCCAACCACAATGTCCCTTTCCACAAAATAGCTTCTCCTAGCAACATGCCCAAATTATGAGAGATGAAGCTTCACCATCTTTGTTTCCCAGAAGCACTCTCGCTGCACTTTTTCTAAGACATACCTATTTCTTCTTTTGGAAGTCCATGAGATGTTCAGTACTCTTCTCCAATACCACAACTCAAAAACATCAGTTCTTCTGTCATCCTTACCCACGGACTCCAGTCAGGGACCTCTCCAAATTATTATGGAACAAAGATGTTAGTTTGAGGATTAAAGTGCGCCTGATTCAGGCCATGGTCTTTTTATTCACTTGCTGGGTAAAGTCAAAGACTACAGCCTTCAATATGGATTGAAGCTAAACATCAAGAAAACAAAGATTCTCACAACTGGGCTGATTGGAAGCATCATGATAGCTGGTGAAGAGATTGAGATTGTTAACAGTTTTAGTTTGCTTGGCTCCACAATCAATACTCTTGGTACCAGCAGCCTGGAAATCAAAAGACAAATCTGCTCTCAGGGACCTCTCCAGAGTAAATAGTAACTATGTCATTCTGTAGACTAAGGTTAGCCTGATTCATACCATGGTTTTCACAATTACTTGCTATGCATCAGAGAGCGGAGCAGTGACTAAAGATGACAGAAGAAGAATCAATGCCTTTGAGTAGTGGTGCTGTAGAAGGATATTGAATATATCATGGACTGCTAGGAGAACAAACAGGTCTTTCCTGGAGAGGGCGAAACCAGTCTGCTCCTTAGAGGCAATGATTTTGAAGCTTTCTCTGACATACTTTGGACATGTTGCCAGGAGGGACCAGTACTTGGAAGATACCATGCTTGAGAGGGTGGAGGGACAGCGCAAGAGAGGAAGACCCTCAATGAGATGGATTGACTCAGTGACTGGAATAATAAAGGTAGCTTTGTTAGAGACGATGAGGCTGGCTTTAGATAGAGCAGGCTTCAGAGCTGTTGTACACAGGGTCGTTATGAATCACAAGTGACTAGATGGCACATAACAACAACAACAACAACATGCATCTGAGAACGGGACAATGAGTAAGTCATTTAGGTACACTTTATGAAAAAGAAGCAGTCAACTGAGAGAGAGGGAGACAATGTGTGGAACTAAGCAAAAATTCTTAGGAGTTATGGGTTATTGATGAATGGAAATTGAGAGACCAAATAAATCTTTTTTTTTCTATAATTATATTTTATTAATTTTCATAAACATTTACAGAGATTTTGGGTTTCCATTCATTCATTGTTGCACTATTCTCTCTACCCTCCTCCCAGTTTGTTCTTGTCCAAATGCCACAGTGCTTGTCAAAGCCAGTTCTGATTAATCTTCTTTGTCAGTGTATCCTTTGCCATTCCCTATCACTCCTCCCTGAGAGAGACTTCACCCTGAGTCATAAGGAAAAGGGGATGGCGTATTCTCTTAGCTACTTCCTGCTGAAAAGGGACGCTGTGGGTTTCAGGGTGAAGATCTTCTCTCACTACTCTAAAGGGCCCCTTTGGCAGTAGGAAACACATAGACTATTATAAAGATTGATTTTGGAATTTAGATGCACTCTTATTGATTGGGCTTGGCCGTACATGTTCATATCCTTGAAGATGTATCATGGGGGTGTTGCAAACTAGAAGACACAAATTTGACTAACAAGTTATAAGTACATGAGTCCAAAAATTATGGAAAAGTAAAAGAAAAGATTCTTTCATTGTTTTGCAAACCCTCCCCCAGGTCCCCTCCACCATGTAGCCCTCGCTCTAGTCTCCTGTGATGACAGAAATACCTAGTTATATATCTCTTTTAAACAGTTTTCTCCCTCCTCTGTTTCAGTGCAGTATACATTATTGAACCCATCTTACTCAGTCTCTCCCCAACCCCAAGGACAGTCCCATTCTACAATAGTGGCATCATGTAATATTTGTCCTTTTGTGACTGGGATATTTCGCTCAGCATAATGTTCTCCAGAGTCAACCATTTTGAATAATATTGCATGAGTTCCTTGTTTTTTAATGCAGCATAGTATTCCATTGTGCGAATATAAATCTTGAGCCTGAATTAAAGACTGAAAAGTCCTGTGAAGCTCTGTCTTATCTGATAACACTAGAGAACAGAGCAGTGTGAACTCCAAACAGTAGGTGTTCAGCTGATGAAAAGAAATAGTATCCAACCTTAGCTAGAAGAGTTACACATGGGACCCTATCAAAGGGGCATTGGTGGAAAGAACACATTTCAATATAAGACCAATATTGGGGGAAATTCTCAAAATTATTGCCTCTTCCAAGCCCTGAAAACCCATTGGACAGTCAGCTATGACTTGAATCCTTCTTGAGAGCACATTTAACAGTACCAATTGAATGACAAGGTTTAGACTTTGTGCTCCAAATACCATTCTGGAACCCTCTTGCTTAGTCCAACATGGGCACATTAGACTTAGGAAGACTTGTTCCTAGGGGATCCATTGGTAACAGAAAGTCATTTGTTCTGTTTCAGTGGGAACTGTCTGTTTCTCAAAAGAAGTCTCTTTATGAAAGTGACTTAAGATCAGAAATAAGGTTGGTGAGTTTAGAAAATGTAAGTGAAGAAGGGACCAAGAGGAAAACCAGTTGATAACAGAATAAAAACTGCAGGAGGCTGGTCTGGTCCATTTCTCCTGTTCTTTCCAGACTACTCACTCCACAGTCTCAGCCTCCTCAACACCTCAAGATACACATTCAATTATTTTGATTACTTTTCCATATTATTGAGGGGAAAGGCTTCCAACCTATTTCATTTTAAATTTATCTCTTAAAAAAAAAGCTTCAAATAAAGAAGATATGTACTTAGTTTCCCTGTAGATAAATTTCAATTTCAGAAGCCAACTTACTTAATTGGCAGTCCGCCAAGTTGATTTTGACTCATGCTTCTAAAATCCTTCGCTGTCCTTTTTTCACTTTATGTATACTCTTAGAGAAGACCCAGCAACTTGTGCCATTTTAGTCAGCCAGTCACTACCCACTTAAACAATCCCGGAGTACCCAAAATATGGCCTTGTGTCTATCCCACTTGAATTAAAAAAATCATCTCCCAAATAGGTTTGAGACTTTTAAAGAGTTATGGATGACATCAAAGATATGAAGAGTTTTATTGACAGCTTTGCTCTTGATCACTGTTCAGCTCTAGTCATTTATGTGCTGTATTATTTTGTTTAAAGTCACCACCAAATTTCACAAATGGAAAGCATTTCCTTGACAAAGTGGGCCATGTTATGCCATTTCCATGTGTCTACCCAATTTCTTCTGTCCATTTTGTAATGTCGATGTTTAAAGCCACAAAACTTTGCAGCTCTGGAAGGATATAAAAACTTGGATTTTCATTGTTAATCCTTTAAGTGTGGTTTTAAGAGAAAGATTAATAATCTTGCTACTTGGGCTGTAGGAGAAAGTATCTCATATCTTGGAAGAAAAATCTTTAGCCAAGAATTTGCAGATAGGAGAATCTCTGTTGAAAGCTTTCCAAGTAGATAATTTTTCAAAGTTCAGGTTAAATAGACATCATATACTGAGATTTTGGATCACGCAGCATCATAGTTTCAGTTGCTTCATATGCATCTGAAAAAGTTGGACAATGACTAAGGAAGATCAAAGAAGAATCAATACCTCTGAATTTTGATGCTGACAGAGAGTACTTTATATCCCGTTTACAACAACCACCCCAAAAAAACACCCCTAAACAAATCTGTCCTGGAGTGATATACAACCAGGTTGCTCCCTACAGTCAAGAATGGTAAGACTTTGTTTCACGTGCTTTGCTCATGAAGGTTGTG